TATTCATTTTATCGAAAATGACTCTTAAATTCCACATCTGAATATTCATTAACTGGTCCATATAGTTTTTAACCCGAGTTCAAATTGTTCAAATTGGTGATGACATAAATAGTTCATCTTCTTCGGAAGAATTATCACTGCTGTTTTTGTTCAAACTTTTTTTAGTGATAATTTAATACATTACGTATGTTTATCCATGTCTGTTTATATTACTACCAGTCTCCTGCAAAGCCGTTCCGAAATATAATGTTACAGTAGTGCTGGCAGTATCACAGTAATTTTGGAACAGCTGCGATAGTGCACTGTAATATGGTTCCTACACATAGAACATGGCAACAGTTGCCACGTGGCAGAAGTTATCGCACTAACCAATAATTCTATGTTTTTAAGTCGGCCTCATCTTGCAAATTTCTAGAAATGATATAATACTACTTCGGATTGAGTCCAACTACGTTAGATTGAGTTCAACTTTTGTTGCGCGGTGGAAATTATATATCTATTATTTCGCTTGCAAGCGAGACGCTGATTGGCTATCGCATCAACTTCCGCTGCGCAGCAGCGTTGCCGCGTTCTGTGCGAGAGCAAATAACGGTTGCACTGCCAGTAAAGAGAAAACACACCATGATCACCTTGTTATAGCTTCTACTCATTTCAATAAGCGCGTTATAGCTTCTGCACACTGGAAGCGGAAACGCTGTGATGCGATAGTCAATAAAATATTCCTAATGTGTTCATTGGTTACCGCGTCTCATTTTGCCGCGCGGCAAGTGTTTCTGCGTCCAGTGTGTACGAGCCATTAAAATGAGTGTTACAATATATAATATAATAGATACAGCATGTTTAGAGCATGTCAGAGCATGTGACGAACAAAGGTCTAATATCTAAGGTTTTGAAATAAAAAACTGACTATAAATATCAGTCTCTGATTAGTTCGTGACATCTTAAGACTGTACTTAAGATGATCTTGAATATAAAGGCCATTTTACATTTGGTCTCGTAGCGTCGGAAACGTAGTAAGCATGCGATTTTTAAATTGAAGCATGGGAGTGGCTGAAGCAACAGCTTATGACTTGCTTATGACTGCATCTATGATCCGACCAATGTAGAATAGCCCTCAGATTTGACTCTGAATACCCTATATCTATATGTGCGTTATGTATATGTACGATATTCTGCAACTAATCAGAAAATAGGATTTTGCTTTGATATCATCGATACAAAATAAGATCTTGTTTTTTAATTGGTTGCAAAACGTCATACACACTTAAAGTTCCTAGAAAAACAGAGTCTGACCCCATGATCCATATTTTTTTTTAATCCTGCTTGGTTTTCTGATCCAAAAAAGGATCACATGTATTAAATTTGGATCGATAATCCTGTGATAATCTCTGCAGAGGGATAGAGATTTTCATTTTTTTTGTTTTAAATTTTCAATCCTTGTTGTTGGCTCATATTTGCTTGCCCCATTATGACAGCACGAATCACAATGTATGGAAATGGCGCGCTTATTGAAAAACTTGTAGACATGAGTTTTATCAATAAAACATGCTTTTATCTTTAAAATTCTGTAGTATGCGTAACATAAATTATAGCATGTTAGCGTATAGCATTAACATCATTGTAAGCACGTTCTGGGTATCGAAATTTTCACGAAACTTTTATTTTTTCACTTTTGATACATACCAATCTCACGTGAAAAGTTTCACTTTCAAACAATATCAGACTTAATGATCATGTAAGAAAATTACGAGAAAGTGAGATTATAAAGCGAATTTACATCATTCCTCTTAAATTTACGAAAATTTAACAAATATTCACAGATGTATGTACATACAAATATGTATGCACGTACATGTATTTTGATAGGAAATCATATTGTGCTCATTATTTGTTGTTCCTTATACATATAATTGAAAATAACAATAAATGTAACTCAAAAATAAAAGTAAATGCTGTTAAACATGTAAAAAATTTGGATATTGCGCGGGGAAGAGTGTCGCGAAATTCTCAGAGCCATATAGAACTGGTAAAAACATATTATTTCATTACTTCTTGATTGTATATTGTATTTCTATGCAAAAAATACTCGGAATTGTTAAATAAAACCCAAAAAATTAATTTATTCATCAAAATTTATTTTGTCGCCTTCAAAGTAGATCCCATCGAGTGCAATATAATGCCACCGCTTGACTTAATTCTCCATACATCGTTCGTAGGATTGAGATATGGTCTTCAGCTCCTTCAGCGAAGGAGCTTTTCTTTTATAGCCTCGATTGACTCAAAACGCCTTTCTCGAAGTGATAATTTTAGCTTCGAGAACAGGAAAAAGTTACACGGGGCCATATCAGACGAGTACAGTGTTTGGTCGATAACATTGAGTTTTTGGCCAAAAACTTTTGTACAACGATGGCTTTGTACGATGGTATATTATTGTGGTGCAAAATCCATGAATTGTTCTTCCACAAATTTAGTCGTTTTTGGTGGATATTCTCGCGCAAACGCCTTATGACGCCTATATAGTATTTCTTATTCATCGTTTGTTCCTTTGGAAGAAATTCGGAGTGTACACATCACGATAATCGAAAAAAATTGTCAGCATGACCTTGATTTTCGAGCGATTTTGATGCGGTTTTTTGGGTTTCAGCTCGTTTTCGAGGCATCATTCTGTTGGCTTGTTTACATGTCATATTCATAAATCCATGTCTCATCGTCAGTTAAGATACGTTTCAAGATGAGGTCCGTAGAAGTTCAGGAAATCATGTCTTCAGCGACTTGCTTTCTGCTCTTTTTGGACAAAATTGAGCTTTTTCGGAACCAGTCGTGTAGCGACGCGTTTCATGACCAAAATATCAGTCATAATGTTATTTATAGACTTAACAGATATATTCATCTCTTCAGCCAACACTCTAAAACTTATACGATGATTTTTGAGCACCAATTTCTTGATTTTGTCGATGTTTTCATAGGTAGACGTTGAAGGTCGACCAGAACGAGGCAAATCAACTATTACTTCTCGGTTCTCTTTGAATAGTTTATACATTCATATGCCTGTGTTTTGACATGCACGATTCACCGTAGGTCTTCTGCAACATTTTCAGATTCGGCACCCGAAATTTCGTTTGACACACAAAATTTAAGGCAAACTCTTTGTTCAACTAATTTTTCCATTATAAAAATCGTAGAGCACTCAAAAGTATGATTAACAAAAACAACTACTGTCAACACACGGAGGGACAGATCGCGCTCAAATCCCGCGTGGTAACTATTACAGTGGTACCAACATATAGAAAAAAATTGTGGTGATATCTTTTATGCGCGTTTTTCAGATGATAAATTCCAGGTACTTTTTACACAGAATGTAATAGTAAAAAAACAGTATATATTTAAAACTCGTAGAACAATGTAAATGAGAAAACATAGCACAAATCCTAAATTGTTCCGAATTGGGGCCGGAGAAATCTTCATCTGAATGAAAAAGATTATTTTTCAACCTGTTTCATAAATCTCTATTTTTTATTATAATTTTCATTTTTAAATTTTCATTTTTGTGCATTTCATATTTTTATCTTTTTACTCATATATTTAATTTAATATCTCGCAAATGTTTTCTTAATATGCGAAGTTTTCGCCTGTCAACTGCATGCTCTTCCTCTTCGTTCACAACATTTAGGGTGAGAACTACGTAATATCCATTTCAAATAGATATTCAAATATATTTAATATTTGTCGAAAGCGAGAGAGTTCTAGTGCAGTTCTAATGCAGGAACAGAAGAAAGATCGAAAAACAAGCTAGTTTATATCAAACTTATTAAAAAATAACTAGAATTTCACATTTTAGGCATTTCCTTACTTACGCCGAAAAATTTCTCGTGAACTATTTCACATTTTATAACAGCCAAAAGTTACTTATTATCGCTTATTCATTACATTTACGTCAATTTGTTCACTTTTTGTGTATTCATTCCTAAGGGAAACTTTATGATAATCGACCTTGAATACAAGCTATAACATATTTGCGCTAACATCGTTGTAAGCACGTTTTGAATACGGGCCATAATATGGGAAATGAATAACGCAAAACATTCTTTATTGATGTATTTCATATTGTAATAAAGAAGGAAATGTTATGAAGAAATAATATAGTTATGAAAAAATACAATCTGTTTAATAAAAATATAAAATTTCTAAAATGAAAACATAGTTTCCCTAATAACACAAACGTCGATACGTCGATTTTGCTAAGTCAGGTCTTTAGAGTCGACTGTAGTAGTCAACTTTCTATAGACATCCTTCCAATCTATTCGACTTTAAGACGTCTAGTGTTATTTACGCTCACAAAGCTTAAATGTGGAAATGGATCATTTCATTCTTGTTGTTTAACTATAGTTAAAGTATGAATGCTATTCATGAGTTGTAAGCATGAATCGGACTACAGCCTAGAATGATTGACTTAAAAGTCGACTATAGTCGTCTTTAAAGTGTGACATTGTATGACATAGAGACACCTCCAAGTCGTCTAAAGTCGACTTATGGACGTCCATTTTTCAGACATCTAGAAGCTATAGTCGATTCAGAGTCGACTTAGAATCGACTTTATGCTATTAGGATTCAAACAATACGGCCATCAAATGTTTTTCGCGCACCTCCATAAAGGAAAGCTGCAAAGCCGGTGGAAGAGTAAGGAGCTCCATACAATAAAAGGAATAGGGAACAGAGAACAGAGAATAAGAACAACAACAGTATTCCACAATACATGATTTCTGATAAGTTGAAATTCTTATTCTCTGTTCTCTGTTCCCTATTCCTTTTATTGTCGAAGCCCCTAATAAAAACGAATGTGAAATCAAAACAAAAAGCCCAGCAGGGTTACCAAAAATTTTCTAGGAACTCTACACACATCATGTTATCGCTTCCAACATGCGTGTCCTGAAACGAAGCAGGCGCCCTCATCATTAACGAGCCCGGTTTACGAATTACGGTTATGAGGTTATCATCGTCAGCATTGCGGACGTGAGAACTCAACATCGTCGTCACGTCACCGTCATCGTCGCCGCCGTCGTATCAGTCGCATCTTATATTGTCTTATAAGCGATGGAGTGCGAATAATCCTCGGCGACGATGCTGCGTAATGTCGATCGCTCTTCTCCACAGTCGGTTACCAATTACAGCTCGCGTCAAAGTCGAATTAGTGCCCGCCAGGCACGGCCTCGCGGAACGTCGGCCGCGTCGTTTTTACCGTCGTCGCCGCCACTACTCCGCCGCGTATGATTCATAAGGATCGAGCTCAGAGTTGTCTTCAGGTACGGCGGCAACGCGTCTCTCTCTTTCTGTCTCTTTCGCGTCTCTCTTTTAGAATAGTCTAAAATCTGGAAATTGAGCACTCTATACAATCTGTTCTACTTAGTCCGGAGAATTAATAGGCTTTAGACATTGAAATTTCGGACGAGCGCCGCGCAAATTCGGGGGAAATCGCAGAGTGATTACGCTCCCGCAGCGAAAATTTGCACAAAATTATGTGTACCAATGATATTTCTAATAGTACATGACGTACGAACTACGACAGAATGTGACAGTTTCTGATTATTCGAACACATGGGTATGAAATCGTAGTATTATTGTTTTACAGTGCGCAAATTGCTGAATATTTTATTATTGATAATTGTTTAAAATAGTGATTGTAGATAGTTCTGTGTCTTATATGTATCTTTCAAAGTAGAATTAATATTTTAATAAATGTGATTGATAATATATTAGTAACTATTTTTGCAAGAAATTTTGTCGTAAACTATTGTTATTTTTATTTTTAAAATGTATATATTATAAAAAGATATAATCTTTCTAATTAGAAAAAAGAAAATTTTGATATCTTGTAAAATGAAGGATTATGTCTTCCTATTCTTCTTCATTTCATTAGTATATTAATTTAATGTGTTTTGTAAAATATGAGCTGTATGCAATGCAAGTATTATGATGTAATATTTTGATTTGGTTATTAATTATTGTCAATTTAAATTAATAATTTTAGATAATTCTGTATCGTGTATGTATTTTTTAAAGTAAAAAATTAATGTTTTAGTAAATATGATTATTATTAACTATTTTTGCAACAAAAAGTTTGATAAATTATCATTTTTATTTTTAAAACTTATATATTAAGAAACGTAAGATATAATTTAACTAAAAGAAAACAAATTTTAATATCTTATAAAATAAAAGATTATGCCTTCCTAAGTTTCTACTTTTATTGATGCATTAATTTATTATATTTAAAAAAATGGGCTGTGTTATTCAAGCATTATGATGTAATATTTTTGTTAAAGGGACAAAAGCCAAATTTTATATATTCGGAGATGCTGGAAGTTGGTTTGCGAGTTGTTCGTGGTCAAGATTGGAAATGGGACGATCAAGATGGTGGAGAGGGTCATGCTGGGACAATAGTGGAAATCGGTAGACCTCCCTCTGCAGGGAACTCAACTTCTAGTCCAAATCCCACCGATCGGACACCAGACAAGACAGTCATCGTTCAATGGGATCATGGCGCTAGGAGTAATTATAGAATCGGTTATCAGGGTGCTTATGATTTGTTGGTGTTTGACAATGCAGCCGCTGGCGTCAAGCACTCCAACATCATCTGCGACGGTTGCAAAAGACATGGGATAATTGGTATCAGGTGGAAGTGCACAGAGTGTTTTGACTACGATCTCTGCACACAATGTTACATGGCCGACGTACATGAGTTAACTCATACTTTTGAGAGATATCAAACAACAAATTCTGTAGGGTAAGTGTTTACGATTCTAATGAAATTTGTATTTCTCATTCTGACTATCTATAATAATAGTATAATTACAATTACATTGAGTGCAGAGTTCGTCTAGAGCCAAGAGAAGGCTGCACAAAGATACCTCTGAAAGGGATCTTCATAGGAGCAAAGGTCATTCGCGGACCTGATTGGGAATGGGGAAATCAGGATGGTGGACGTGGTATTTACATTTTATTTAAATTAATTGAATTATATGAATTAATTGAATTATATAATCATGAATTACATAATTACCATCTAATTTCCTTTGAATATTTCAGGGAAAACCGGCAGAGTCATGGACATACGTGGATGGGACAACGAAAGCAGTCGATCTGTCGCAACCGTTACATGGTCCACGGGTAGCACTAATGTCTATCGATTAGGTTTCAAAGGTTGCGTGGATCTGTGTTACGTGGAGGAGGCTAATGCTGGCATTTACTACAAGGAACACCTTCCATTACTCGGTCAACCGGTCTTGACTGTATCGGATAATGGAAATGGCACAACACCGACAAAGAGTGGTGTCACAGGCATCACGTCTAGTCCTCATCCTCTAATGTTTAACGTCGGTGACAAGGTGAAAGTTTTAATGGAAGTCGATACGTTAAAGGAGATGCAAGATGGTCATGGCGGATGGAATCCGCGTATGGCCGAATACATAGGAAAGGTATTTCATAAAAATGATCATTTACAATCGTTAACATTAATTAATGTCAATTGAAGTTTAAATTTTGCGATACACGATGCATTTTTTCTGCTTTAGTAAATTATTAAAAATTTTACGTTCTATGTGATGCAATTGTAGTAATTTGCTCTAAAACGCAACCAATTCAGAAAATGCATCGTGTTCCGCTTAATTTTAGATTTCTTGGATCTCTGTTTTGTCTTTCTAGATAGACAGAAAAAAATTTCAATTAATATTGATTAGCAGTTGTTATTGTATATGAGAGATATGTTTAATATATTTAATTAATACACAAGTCAATACGTTTAACATATTTAATGCGTATCGTATAATTTAACTTTCTAACTTCTTGAAATCTAGATTGGCATAGTACATCGAATTACGGATAAGGGAGATATTCGTGTGCAGTACGAAGGCTGCCACAATAGGTGGACTTTCCATCCAGGTGCACTGACAAAAGTTACCGCCAAGGATGGATTTTCTCTTGGTGATATAGTCCGCGTGAAAAGCGATCTAGCTGCCGTGAAACAATATCAACGTGGCCATGGTGAATGGATAGACGTAATGAAAAATGTTAGTTGGCAATTTATATGCTTGTTTTTAATTTAGTACAGCTATATATAGAAGTGACAGACATTTGATATCGGATATACTTGTCGCAGGCTCTAGGAAAGACTGGGAAGGTAATTAAAATCTATTCCGATGGCGACTTACGTGTGGCATTGGACATACATGGTCATACATGGACATTTAATCCGTTAAGTGTTGTCCCGGTATCTTCTGGCACAAATGCTATGGCTGCCACGCATGATAATGTAAATAAGAGTAGAGATCATTCGGGTATGTTTATTTTTATTATATATATGAATTTTTGTTAATAATAGAATGAAAAAAGATGCCAAATTTAAAGTTAAATTGATATCAAAGGGAGATTAATTTTTATTATGCTGTGTGAAAAACAAGACCATCCGTTATAATTTATTCTTGTAGTCGATGGTACCGATAGTGAAGTGGAAAAGCTATTAAGGGATGCGGCTAGAGGTGAAGCTGGAGTGGATGCAGTACGAGAATTCCTGAAGAAATACCCTGGCAGAGTGGACGCGTGTGCTCCTGGCGGTGGCAGAAAAACGTGCTTGCAAGTGGCCGCTCACCAAGGTCAGCGTGAGCTCTGCACTCTTCTTCTGGACGCTGGTGCTTCTTTGCGTGCGGTTGATGAGGACGGAGATACGCCTTTGCATTATGCGGCATTCGGGTATGTTGGAAATTGTTGCCGCATTTTTTGCAAAATTAATTATATTGTTCTCTCTTTTGATTAAACAGAAATCAGCCAGAGATAATGGATCTATTATTATCGCGAGGTGCAGCTATCAACGCCGTTAATAACGGCAGATGTAGTGCTTTGCATGTGGCAGTTAATAAGCAGCATGTGCAATGCGTGAGAATTCTATTGCGTTATCATTGTGACGTCAACCTCCAAGACTCGTACGGCGATACAGCGTTGCACGACGCGATAGGAAAGGATGCGCTAGATGTGATCGACGCGTTATGCGCCTGCGAGAAGGTTGACTTCACGCTAAGGAACAAACGAGGTTTCAATATCTTGCATCATGCCGCACTCAAGGGCAATGCTCAGTATGTGTATAAGATACATAATACTTAACAAGTATAATCTCATAGCGATCATGTCTGCATAGTAATAACTTGGCCATACTTAAGATTCATCTGGTTCATCTAATTTAAATATAAATAAAGTGCCTATATATTATCTAATTTACTTTGATCCTATGAATTTGCAGTGCAACGGAGAGGCTGGTTACGCGCGCGCGTCACTTGGTAGATGTGAAAAAGGAAGATGGATTTGCAGCATTGCATCTAGCAGCGTTGAATGGACACAAGGAAGTTGCGGCTATCCTTCTCTCGCAGAATGGTGGCCGCGCCAAAGTGGATCTGTGCAACAATCGGCGGCAAACGCCGTTGCATTTAGCAACTTCGCAGGGACATTGGTCGCTCGTTGAGTTGCTGGTGCATCACAATGCGGATATCGGCAGCACGGATGAGGACGGCGACACTGTGTTACATATCGCGATAGCAAAGAGCCCGAATCAACAAACTGCTGTGCCTACACCCGAAAGTAGTCGGGATTCACCACTTTTGTATGCTGTATGTTGTCCAAATTCTTGCTTTTGAATTAATCTTCTCTCTCTTTCTCTCTCTCTCTCTCTCTCTCTCTCTCTCTCTCTGTCTCGAAAGACATAGATGTACGGTCACAACTTCTCGCAATGCATCATTTTTTTTTAACTTCAACAAAAGATCTAAGATTGCTTTAATTCATAAAACAATTATGATTCATTTTCAAGAAAATTATTAAGTTATCAAATATAAGACAGCGCAACACTCTTTTTCTCTTCTCCTAGGCGGAGAAGTCACTCCTCTTTCTTTCTTTCTTATTTCTCTAAGAAGAAAGTTAAAAGGGATTGAAGCATCGCAAAAAGTTGAGACGTTGTGAAACAGAGGTAATTAAATAAAGTTCCTTCATTATTTTTGCAATGTAGTTTCTATTTATGTTTTTTCTTAAATTGAAATTGAAACTTTTAAAATTATTATGTATATCTATTATGTATATATATTATGTATATATATTATGATTTGAGAAGAAAAGAAAATGAAAAAAGAAAGGATAACTTATCAGTTCATCAGTTCTTTTCTAACGAATATTTTCTTTTGAACAGATCTGGCAGAACCTGGCAAGGCAAGGCGCAAAGACTGAATTAGCATTAGCTTGTTTTTTGGTAAGCGTGGACAGGAGTTGCAAACTTCTTGAACAAGTCAGAAACAACAAGGACAAGACGGCGCTTGATCTTTTGGAAAGCAACCCACAGGCTGCCCTGCTCGCTGATCTTTTACGCTCTTACAAATACCAAAGTCATAGCACGCAATTAGAGTAAGACAAGATATGAGTGTTCTAAATGATCCGCAAGTCGAAATGTAAATTTTGAAACGTAACTTTAAATTGATTTTACGTTTTGAAAACTGATCTTGCAATGCGCTTTTGGAATCACTTAATTGATTTAGAGTTTATCAACATACAATGTAAAATATAATTCGTTTTACAGAATAGAGAACAATCCATCGCCTGGTTACGTAGAGCCACCTGCGTACCGAATAGATAATATATCGCAGTCGGAAGGATTGCATGTTGCGAAGAAGAATATAACCGGTTCTGGCGATGCGGCAGAATGTCGAGATTGCTCGGGGATCATAGAAAACACAAAACAGGAGAATCGAATTGATCCTAGCAGTAGCGTTACGCTTGTTGGGTGTGCACGTTGTGGCCATACACAAACAATTCCAGGTATATGATTTTTTTTATTGATCTCGTATAAATTGATTAAATTGATCAAGAAATCTTGGTAAAATTGATTTCAAGGAATTATTAAGTATTTTCTGTATCAATATTTCACAGATATATTTTGTATAACAAATTATAAAAAATCTTGTGGAAATCATACGAATATGTTTTATATTATTTTTCTAGATGGTCAGTTGGCGACAGGTGAAGTCTCTATAGCCAATTCGGAGGATAAATCGAAGGACTTATCTTCAGAAGGCAAACGAAAAGAGGAGATCGGTGACAAGGAAAAAGAGAAGGACAAAGATCTAGAACGGCTACGTTATTTGGAAACTAGAGTCGCGGATCTCGAGGAGGCGAATATGTGTAGTATCTGTATGGAACGTCGTCGTAACGTCGCATTTCTTTGCGGACATGGCGCGTGTGAGCACTGTGCCGCTCCATTGAAGACTTGTCACATGTGCCGCAAGACGATCACAAAAAAGATTAATTTATATTAGAAGTTCGATCAATCACCATACGTTTATATCGGAACATTGATTTCCACGCGGTATATACAGCATGTGTCACGAGAGGAAAAGTCGATATTAGTGATAATAATAGTTAAATAGTCCTTAATGTCCAAATTTAAACAATTTAGATTACGCAGCCAGAACGAGAGACAGAGGAATTTCTTTATTCGCTATGTCGCACGATTCCTTTCGAGACATTCTGTTTGCCCAACAGAAAATTTTGTCATTCGCCATGTCGGCGTAGGAAAATGTTCATCAATTGATCGTAACGACGCGTACGTTACGTTTCGTGCTGATGAAATTAAACTGCCAAAATGTACATTTTATTTTCGCGTATAATACGAAAGGGAAAAAAATGAAGCTCTCTTATATTGCATTAACGTCGTGCCATAGCGAGATAGGTTTGCGCACAACACGATAATCGTGTTTGCCTGGACACGAGATATTTTGATCTTTTGTTATTTCTTTATTTTTCTCGGCAATTAGTTAAATCGATTATATTAAAAATTAATTAATATCAGTACCGAAGAGGGGGGGCGGGGGTGATGTCTTGTGTCTTGACAAACACGCCCGACGTACGATTATATGTACATCGTTTACGCTTTCCTTCCTCATGAATCGGCGTTTTCGCCTGTGCTTTATCCCGTCCATTTTTTATTCATGTTTAAAGAGAGCGCGGATGACGAGCACTGAAAGAGCGAACTTCTTATCTTAACGTAGGAAACATGCGCGATCGTGTTTATGCGTTTGTATTATAACAATCACCAGAAGCTCGTAGAAACATTCGTACATATCGCTACATTATTGCGAGAAGAAAAAAGAATACTGTTTCCACGTGTTCGAAAATTGTCCGAATTCCTGTTGCTTCCACGCAGTAAAAGGGAAGGGGGCACATTTTAGATAGTAAAATTTTTTAGACTTTTTAAAATAGATTTTTGCTGAAAAACTTATATTGATTAAGTTTCAGCCATTTTTTAAAATATGTTAATAATATAACTTGGAATTTTGTTACTTGATATGTGGCAAGATTCGATATTTGATATGGATTAAATATTATCATGAAGGAATGTTTTCGATGTTCAAAGAAATGTTTTGTTAAAAATGAGTAAAAGTATCTTTTGATAACTTAATATTCAAATTGTGGAAATCGGTAAGGTGATGTTTAATGTATCCCCTTTTCTCCGATCATGTTCGCATCGTTCTGCGTAACGAATAACACGCTAAAGAGAAACATACAGTCTTAGCCAAGTTTTCTAGGTAGAATAATTGTACTCGTTTGTATAAAGTGATTCATTTGTGATCGAATGTGACAGCAGTGGAACCAATTAATTTTAAGCGCGCTTCCCGTCATGAACGCATTTTCAAGCAAAAGGAAAGCAATGCGTTCGCATGTAATAAAGAAACTGATTATTGAGGTACAAGAGAGATTATTGAGATACAAGCTTAATTATTAACGCGAGAATCTATTTTTTGGTGATTCTCAAATTATCAGAGAAAGAAACTCTATGGATGTGTGATTTCTAGAAGAATTTTTTTTCCATCAGTATTAAAGTCTTGCCTTTCTACTCAATACAACGAAAAAAAACTTGTACTCGAGGTACTGCGTAAAAAGTTGTATGTAACACGAGTCGCGTAAATGAATGTATCAGAGGATTCTGATCAATCGATTTTTACATCGGTTAGCATAATTTCTACACTGGTGACTGGAGAAATCAAAAATGATTTTTATGGGTTATTGTACACTGGATACACGAGAGCAGTCCTTTCAGGGTAACACATCACGAATTTTACGTTCATGAGGAGAAACGTACAATTTGTGATAGTGCCAATTTGATTTCGTCAGGATGATATTAATTTTCTTCCTTTTTTACCCCACTCTTTCTCCCTTTTTTATAATAATAGCCATATTGTCGTTTTAGATATATGCGGCGTATATATTACGAAAGATGTTATATTACGATAAAACTACAGCGTTAAGATAAATCTTAAGCGTCGATAGATTTCTACAATTGTAATTTAAGGCATAATTTAAATAAACAATTTGACGGTAAATGAACTTTAATGTGCCTTTCATATACGTTTTTTTTCCTTTAAACTTTATGGAATAATGCGAGAAATTTCTCTTTCACACTACTTGTTAAGTTATTGATAAAAATTATAATATTATAGATACGAAGCGGTAACAAGAACAAATTCATATAACGTAGACACCAGACATCTCACGCAGTCAAACGAGAAGCGTAAAATAAACTTGTCCTTAACTTAGCAAGCAATCTTATTTATTTTGGTACTCGATAAAGGTTCCGATAGTCGTATATTACAATATTGAGCCAGTTTTGCAAAAATTGTAATAGCGATATACTAATGATATATAATAATGTAATAATGGTAATAATATTTTCTTTTCCTAAAGTAAACCTAAACGCAATGTATTCTATTAATAATATGTGTATTATCTGTAGTACCTAATTAACTTAAACTTAAATCGTGGGGCCGTAGCACAACGTGCAATACGATCACGTAATGCATTTTATCCGTGTTAAAATCGTCTTACATCGCTTTCTTCAATTTGCGTGGATCTTATCTCCTTCCATATCGTCTCTTCGAAGAATAATGTATGTGAAATCCTGATAAAGGGTAACCAAGCATCAAAATATAACTTATCAGAGATTAAGAAATATTTCATCATGTATCGTATGCTTCATAAGAACTAAACATACTATTTTCAATTCGATATTGAATCGCTTTGCGTCTTATTTAGATACATGGTTTTCCCTATTTTTGGATCTATACATCACATACAACGTAAAAAATAATCTTTCATTCCTTTTGTTTCTTTCTTCCATTTTTTTCATCCTTTTTATTATTCATTTTCTTTTTATTATTTTTTTTTTTAGTAATTCATAAACGCGATCAAGATGATGTAGTTACGAAAATAAATAATACAGATTTCTCTGGAATATTGATTGAATATTGATACATATCGAAGGAAGAACAAACGCATAGGAAAGATACTGAATAAAACGATATTTTTGTGTTTCGTCAAATTGTAAAGACAATTGAATGAAGAAAACACAAATCTTCGTTTTGTTCACTTTACTCTTATTTAGATTTTATTCTTTTACATTGTTACTTTATATTTCATTCGTAAACGAGTAAAGTGTACACTATCAATATACAAACATTGCTGGTAATTGACGAAATCACCTAAGATTTTTAAATGAAAAATACTCTAACGCGTACATCATTCGCATATGCGTTAGTGTAATTTTAATTCGAAGAAGACGTTGGAAAGTGCACTTGCTACTTACAAAAACAAATTACGATAATTTATATCAATTAGGACGCGAAATACAACTTTGCACTAATTCCGTCGCGCGCGAGTTACCGTGACATTTCTTTTTTTTTCTTATTTCAAGAATAATAGCGGTTTCATGTAAAGTGTACAGCAAAACGCGAGATTTACTGTTGCTTTTCTCTCGCAACTTCTACGAGTAATTAAAGTTCTATTCGCATCTACGTATAAGACTTCAAGTGCCCGATAGCGAAAGAATTGTCAAGAGAGAGCGAAGTAAACGCGCACAGACGAAACTATGGCGATCCTGCCTCCCATTTCTTCCCTTGAACGCGTGCAGCGTATTTATCGGCGAGTTTTACTTCTAACAGAAATTCCTTCCTTAACAGGATTCCTTAATAGGTAGCCTTAATAAGAGCTTTTGCTCTCTATTTTTCTCTCTCTCTCTCTCTCTCTTTCTCTCATTCTCTCTCTCTCTCTCTCTCTCTCTCTCTCTCTCTCTTTCAGAACGATTCATCGACTTCCCGATGTCGATATATAGATACGTAAAACCGTCACACTGATTCATTCGCCGAGCGTAATTATTGTCAACTACGATCAAATCCTGAGTCCGGCCAAACACTGCGAGATCACCGTTTTATTAATGTTGGGAAACGATAGTCATAGGATACCCAGTATTTCGTTACTCTAAATACATACAATATAATGACAATATAATGATATATATATATATATATATAATATATGTGTGTATAATATATATATTATTATAGCGGTAACACTATATATTGCCTAATATATAGCTATAACTCCACGCACGATCAGTTTTATAGACGTCCAAAATGCCCCATTGCGCCCCCTACAATGTTTCACATATCATTACGGGAAACGTTTATATGATGATAGTAATGCGTTGTCATTGTACACTGATGATAATAATAAACAAACGCGATTGAATTAAAATGATGGTCCATGGATGAATTGTAAGTGATTTTTTTGTGGGATGACTCTAATGCAATGCATATTATATTGCAAAAAGATTC